GAGCATGACACAATCATGTGAGCCATGCCAGGTTGGGGGTTTCATGTCCATGGGTCGGCATGGCATGACACAATTGTATGTGTCGTGCCACCCATAGCCCGTGTGCCGATACGACCTAGCCCATGGCACGGCATGACACGGCTCGCAAGCCCGAAGTGGGATGAGCACAACCTGCCCGAGAAACAAGACATTGGGGGTACCCTTCCCAATGGCCATTTTTAGCTTTTTTGGGTTTTTTTACAAAAAATACCCCCTCAATAGCTATATAGGGGGTATTTATGTATTTTGGCTTTGGAGGGAGAAAAAATGATAATGCTCTCCCCTCCCCCCCAATAACTATATAACAACTAGTTTGTGGAATTTAGGTAAAGTGATAAATAACTTTATAATGACCAAAATACCCCACTCAACAACTAAAAAATGGCTATTTTTTAGGGTATTTTGGGCAATTGAATTATTTTCAATTCCTATAAATAGCCCTATCCTTCATCATTCTCATCACACCAATTAAACAATTCTATTCTCATACTCTCTCAATCTCTCATACATTCTCATACTCTCTCTCTACTCTCTAATTCTCAACTTCATTGAAGTTTCAACAAGAAGAAGGCTTGCTCAAGTATCTAAAAGTTAGCAATTGAGAGGCTTAAAGATTTTAACAGTTGAAATCAAGTTGAGTTTCTGAACCGGCAATCTAGGTAAGTGTAATTAAATTAATTTTTATTTTTTTAGAATTTCAAAAACGGTTGGCTCCTCTTGAAACAAATTCTCTAACATCAACATGTTCAATGTCGACAATATTCAATCGCAACATGATAGTGTTAGTACCGATTTGGATGCTATTGATATTGACGGAATTCCCACTCCTAGTGCTGATACTAGGAAAAAGAAAAAGAAGGCCACTAAGTTTATTAGCCTGGTTTGGAAAATATTTAAAGTAGAGGAGATTGAGGGGAAGGTAAAAATAGTCATTTGCCAAAATTGTAGGAAATACTTTTGCTACTGTAGTAAGGGTGGTATTGGCCACTTGGGCAGACATTTGCTCTCCCATGAGAAAGAAGAAAGAAAAAACACAAACACAAATTGGGTGTGGGGTTTTTAGTACTTTTAAATATTCTCAAGAAAAAATGAGGCAAGAGTTAGCAAAATATATTGTACCAGCTAAATTGCACATGTTGAACAACCATTTTTGTTAGCTGAAGATACTAAACTTGAAAGATTTTCACATAATTCTGTAAATCCACAATTTAAAAAAGTTTCTATGAATTTAAAAAGTATTTATTCATATAAACAAAATTTAATTTGTATTTTATCAAATCTTAATTTCAAAGTTGAATTACTTCTGATATTTGGACCTCTCAATTTAATATAAGTTATATTTGTGTTGTCGGTCATTTTATTGATGAAAACTAGCTTTTACAAAAAAGAATTTAAAGTTTTACTAGGCTTAAATGGTCACATATTGGCCCAACTATTACTGCAAGTATTTTAAATACTTTCCGTGCTTACGGAATTGACAATAAACTATCTTCTGTTAGTTTTGATAATGCTAATAATAATGATTCCATAATAAATATTTTAAAATATCAATTGAAATCATGTTTAAATGGTAAATTATTTCATATCAGATGTGCATGTCACATCTTAAATTTATGTATTCAAGATTCTTTAAATATTGTTTCTAATCAAGTTTCTAAAATTAGAAATTGTATTATATATATTAAAAGTTCTAGAGCAAGAAAACAAGAATTTAAATATTTATTCAATATTATGGTTTAAAATATAAACATTTTGTATTAGACATTAAACATAGATGGAATTCTACCTATGATATGTTAGAAAGTTGTATTTCTTACAAACAAATTTTTAGTGATTTTTTTAATGCAAAAATACCACATGATATTATATTTAAGGAAGACTAGGAAATGGCAATTTTTATAAAAGATTTTTTAAAACATTTTTATGATACAACTAATGAATTATCGGGTGTTTATTACCCAACTAGTTATAATTTAACTTATCAATTAATGATGATTAGTGATTGCTTTGCAAAATATAGAAACAATTCACAATTTAAAAGTATTGTTGAAATAATGGAAAATAAATTTTAAAAATATTGGGAAAACATTTCTCCTCTTTATTGCTTAGCTACAACATTAGATCCTAGGATTAGGAAACATGGTTTAGATATTTTACTTGAAACATATTGTGAAAATATGAATATTGAAATTGGAAATAAAATAAGAAATTAATACTTTATTATTTGAAACGTATAGTTTATTTGAATCTGAAATAACAAGGCATAATAAATCTACAACTTGTACAAGTGCATCTTCCACTTGTGAAACTAATTCCAATAGTGGAAAAGAAAAATTTTGGTCTCTAATAAGTAGGAGGCAGGAATCTACAACATCTTCATCAACAAATTCATTTATTGAACTTAATTTTTATTTACAAGCAGATTTTTCTAGTTTAGGTGATTCCTTCGCCTCAGAGAAATGAATAATTTTAATATTTTAGCCTGGTGGAGTGGATATAAAAAAAAAATTATCCAGTCCTTGCCACCATGGCACGTGATCTACTAACCCCTCTAATGTATATAGTTTCATTGGAGTCTTGTTTTAGTACAGGTATTAAGGTGTTGGACGACAAGAGAAACTACATGAGCGATGAAAGTTGGGAGATATATATTTGCTTTAAAGATTGACTAGATGCTAAAGATAGATTACAAGACAAAAGACGGCATGACACTACACCTGATGTTTCACCTAAAGCAGATGATCAAGGAGATGGAGGTGCATGTGGAATTTAAAGAAAATGATGAAGTCAAAAATTTTTTGTATACTCAATAGTTATATAGTAATTTTTTCAACAATGTAATTTTTATTTTGAATTTGTATATATTGTATGTTTTATATTTTATTAATTTATTACATTTTCTATTTCATTCATCTTACCATTGTATCGTTCAAATTTAAATGAAATAAAATTCCTTTTTTTCTAATTTGTTGTCCACTTTGAGTCTTTGACTTTGTATTTGGTTAAGTATTTTTTCATTTCTTTGTTAGATTTCTTGTTTTTCAATTAGTTCCCAAAGGAAAGTTAAGTATTTTAGTTTTAGTAAGAAAAAAAATCAGAAAATCAAAAATGTTATTAACAAAAAAAAATACAATTTGGCCAGGTTCAGCCCAGACCCACGGTATGGTCTACAACCCACCCCACCCAAGCCCGCGACACAACACGGCACGGGCTGCACAGGCTTGGGCCATGAGCCATGCCAGGCTGACCCCCAAATTATCCCAAGGGAGGGAGGCATAACCCGGGACGACCCGCGGACCATGACATGCCAGCCCAACATGGCTCATTTTATAGCTTTAGTCTTGTTAGCACCTGTGTAAGTCCAAATTGTTAAGGTGTTAGCACCTCTGTAAAAATCTTGTGTGCCTTTTGTGATTTTATTCTTTTCCTTTTAAGTTTGTAGTTTATTTTATTTCTGCTACTTAATTCAACACTACAATACTTGAAACCTTGAAATCTTGCAGATCTACACTTTATTTTCTTTGTTTTTTTTTTTAACTACAAGATACAAAGAAGGCTAGTGTAGTTTGAGCTCATGTATCTAATTTTGTTAGATGGCCAACTTTGGGCATTTCTCAAAAAAAAAAAACTTTGAAGCTTGATAATGATATAGCAACCACAAATCCATTAATCTCATGTACATATCATATGCTAAATGGAATTCATAAAATTTTGTTATTAAAATAATTATTTTTCATTTATTTTTGTGTTGGTAGATTACTAAAATATTAATAAATTTTACATTTTAAAAATAAAATTTTAACGGATTCATGGGTGTGACAAATCATCTACAGATCCAATTATAATTCCTAAGATTGGATAATGAAAACATAGACGGATATTAATTTTTGTGATTTTTATGTTCTCACTTTTTCAAGAAATCATAGATCCACTTATAAAAGCAAAAGGCATCAACTTCCGAAGCACATGAACACATTAGCGGATCCATACATTCCAGGAATCAAAATATGTAAACTTACCAAAGTATATGAATTTGAACACAAAAAGATAAATTTTTCCTCAAATTCGACCTAAATCCACTTTGAGGAAATAAATATCAAATTTTGATTTTTTTTTGTTTTTTTGGCTCTTTAGATCTTGCATCCTCGAGTAAAAGGATGAATGTGGAAAGTGTTGACGGGATAAAGCATCGTCAAAAATTCTACCATCATGGTTCAACACATGCAATACACACCAATACTCCTTGATATTCTATCAATACACACCGGATACACATTGATACATATTTTTCTGCATTGGTGGATAAGTATCATATTATAAACCTTGGTTATCACATGAATCAATGGGTTTTTTTAAGTATATTATAAAACCAAAAGCAAACATCTCTATCCACTTCATAATCATAAACGTGCAAGACCTTAAATTGCCCTTAAAAATGTTCTAAAACCAACCCAAACCCAAAGTTCATGATAAGTTCACACCACTCTTAAACGGTTTCAAAGAGTGCAAAATATAACCATTGATTAATATCCCTAAAGAATGATTTGTTTTAACCATTCCAAAGATCGACCCCAAATCAGTTCATAATAGCTTCAAAGAAAAAAGAAAAAGAAAACCTGAATTAGTCCATATTGTTCGTAAATGGCCACCTTAAAGATTTGACTGAGTCCAAAATTAATGAACTGCCTCGGGCCCACAAGAATCTTGAACCAAACTAAAAGGTATCACAGAACTGCCTCAACCAGTCTGAAGAATAGCCTTACAAGGCCCTTAATGGAGCTTACAAGTATGGCATTCAACTACCTTTAGAAACCCAAGAACCCCTGAAGAAAAAGAACTAATACGGTCCAATTCTGTAGACTGGCCTTGGACTGACCTAGGCCCATCACAACCAAGCCCATGGCCACCCTACTAGAAGAGGAGTGCTAAAAAGGTTGTAGGTTTGTAGCCCAAGGCATCAATTCAACAGAAGAAAAGATCGATCATATTAATTAAAGTGAAAGAAAAAAGGAAGAGAAATGTTCCGCCCAAGTGCATTCCTCTAATCAATCTATTCTTTTCTCGGAGATAAAAGACCTACTGCAGGACAGCATCCAATATGCAGTTCTTACCAACAAAAACCTTAAATAACTGCTTTTACAAAATTGAATATAAAAAATTTCTTTTTAGTAACTGAATCTAAGACTTGAGTCACCAAGAATCATTGATCAGATTCTCCTTGCATTCTGCCTTCCTCTGTTCTTTCACTGCTACCATCATCATCCTCCAATGGCCCTTCTTGAGGCTTTGCTGGGCCTGGGCCAGCTGAAACCTTCACCATTGAAGGACGCAAGAGCCTGTCTCCTAGTTTGAAGCCCTTTCGGAATTCTTGAATTATAATACCTTCTTCAAACTCTGTAGAATCTTCACGCATTATTGCTTCATGCAGCTTTTGTAATTCAAAGAAAAAAGAAAAATAAGGTCTAGTCAAAAACAGATTGTAGAAGTAAATATTTTTAAAGCACACTTGCTAATTTAGCACAAACACATGGGCTTAATAGCATATATTATACTGATGAAAAAACAAACGTCTATAACATGGCAAGTTTTCAGAAATAGACGCCTCCCTATTATTACTCTACAGATCACGATCTAATGGTCAGTAGTTGGGGCTTAGTTAAAAACAATTGTGTAGCTACTTAATACTTCACAAACACCTCCCTTTAAAATATGTATAAAATGAATGAATGGATGAAAATGGCTGTGGCGTTGTGCAAACCCCTAGTAGCAGAATTTGTAATCAAATTTTCAGATTAACAAAGTCCTTACCAGATTGAGTGAACTCAATTCAATCAAGACCTGGGCTGAGTTAACAAACCTGAACAAACTCAACTGAGTACTCAAAATGTCATCAAGTACTCAACCAAGTTGGAGTTGACTTGGTCTTGCACCTACATTTATTTGGGTTGATCAATAAAGGCAGTAACTTTAAGGATGTAGTTTACAGGTTCTCCAGTGAATTTGGTTAACCCAACTGGTTAGGTGAAAGAAATAACAAAGAATAAAAATAATAGTAATAATAACAGATGCACTTTCATGTTTTGAAAAGAAGAAAGAAGAAAGGAGAGAGACATAAAGGGGGCAAACAACTATGGATCACTGTGTCAAAATACTTTCTAAGGAATTAAAACACTTGATCAAAGGGAAAGAAGCAGAGCTGCTCAGTGAAAAAAAAACGAAGCATTTAATTCAAGAAAGAAAAGAATTGCGTTAAATAACCATGTACCACTTTACTTAAGCCCAGCAAAGACTGGGTCCTGTCATCATAGGGGAAGAGCCTGCTTTTCATCATGGGAAAAACAACTACGGACCACTTCACCCAGCCCCCAGGTCTTTGTCACATGCTTATGAAAGAAAAACTTTTTTTTTTAATTCAACATAGAAAAACAGTAACTTAAAACAACTATTAGAGAATAATCTTGTCAACTAAGAGTTCTAGGGTTTCTTCCAAGGTAAACTAAAAACAGAGTTTCACATTATGCCATGAAATACCAGAAAAAAGCCATCCTACTTCAACAAGTTCTTTTCTCTGGTAATTTTACAGGTTATGCTGAATAAGTATTAAAATGTCAAAAGAAAGAACATGTCAGAAAAAGGAACTCTACTTGCCTCTAGCCAAAATGTAAAATTTGTATATCAGGACTAGTACCAGCATTTTGGTATATCATGGGGAGATCAATTACTACAATACAATAGCAAATGAGTTGGACTAGGGATATTTTGAATTTATGTTTTTTTTTTCTTTTGTATTTTTTTGATAGTAGAGTTACCATCATAATTTGTCGGTAGTTATTTTCTGATCATTTGAGTTATTTGTACTTTTCCCAGTTGCATTAGGAGTTGGCTTTCCCAATTGTACTGGGAGTTAGCTTTCCCAATTGTACTAGGAGTTAGCTTTCCCAATTGTACTAGGAGTTAGCTTTACTAAATAGATTAGCTGTGTTAGTGAGTAAGACTTACAAGTACAGCAGAGTTATAGTTCTAAGTAGGAAAAAAGGCGAAACATTAAGGGTCTATTTGATTGCTGAGAAAGGGATGAGAAAAGGGAATATTCCCGAATTATTCTCCCTTTCTTGTGTTTGTTTACTGGTAAACAGTGTGTGATACTTTAAAGTCTCACATGCCAGCACAGATGGTGTTGAATGGGCAAACAAAACCATCTAGGCCCATTGCATCTAATAGTGATGGGTCAAGACTTGAACTGGCCCATCCAACAACCTATGGCCTAGCTAAAAGGCCCACGATTGAAGACCCAAGAGGCTTAGCATGTGACTCACTTAAAGGGCACATGACCGGAGGGGGGGAGCTCTAATAGATGGAAAGATCCATCTATCTTCGTTTTCTTCGAGTTCAGCCTCTCAACTTCCAGGTGCAGGTCCGCACTCAAGCAGCTCCTTGCAGTGGGTCCCGACCAAGAAAGCGAAGGTCCTCTCCCCGGACAGATGTAACCCAAGGTGCATTAAACGGTGAGATCTGGATTCACTAGAAGATCGTGACTGGTCTAGCAAAGAGGGTAGCAATAACTTGGATTCCACTGACACAGTGAGTTTGGGAAGCACCGATCTGCAAGGAAATGTGGACTTACTACAGGAAGAGAGTTTCAAAACGGAAATATTATTTCTAGAAGAAGGAAGCTTTGATGGGGAGTCTAGTAAGGGGCAGAAGACCAAAAGGACAATGGATGCCAAGCTTACTACATCTCCCCTCTTCGAAGGAGCCGCTACATCTCTTTAGTTTGGAAATGATTCTAGTACAGAGGGAATGGACTCTCCGGCAGTTTGTGAATATAGACTAAGAAGGAACGTACAAGGACAGAATTCTCCGGTGATTAGAATAGACAAGGGTTTTTTTTTTTTGATAAGTAAAAAGAAAAGGCAAATACAACCTAGATAGGTGTCGAGAGAACACCTCCACATAAAGCTAAGGCCAACTTCCAAAGCACTTTCCTATGAAAGACTTTTTCACCCAAATCCCAGCACAACACCCCTCAAACATCTTACAAAAGCCAACCACCCCAAAAGAAACATAAAGACAAGACCCAAAATTGCAAAATCCACAAGAGAACACAAACTAAGCCCGGGAACCAAAAGCAAAACAACCACAGATACACAAGCCTCACCCTTTCACCTGCGTCATACCAGAAAACACTTCATTCTTCATCAATGATGTCGATCTCTTCTCCTTTGCCCTCCTCCCATTTCTCACCCCCTCCTCAACTACAATCTTCTTATTACTTTCTTGCCTTTATTCTGTTCGAATTGTTCAATTGCCTTCCTCACCACGGCTTCTCCCCCCAAAAAGAAAAGACCAAGAGATTTACCAACTACCAACTGTCTATCTACTAGTTGATCAATGCTGACTTTTCCTATTTCCGTTATATTTGCCTAAGGAATTTCTTCAGCTTTATTCCTTCCTATTGCTTTTTCCCCCTCACTATTTTCATTATTTTTCTCCTCAGCCTCCTTCCTGCTATCTCTCTCTTCCTCCAGATTCCTCTCATAATCCTTTAACCTATACTTATCCTCCTTTTCCCCTGTGAGAGCCTCCCCTCTTTGATAATTTAAATCAGTGTTCTGAGCCTTCTTATCTGAATCCACAGCAAACCGTTTTCATCATCTTTGTTTGTCAGACAGCTCTGATTTCTAGCTGTGAGCTTACATCCTCTCCTGTATTTTCTCTTAAATCTGCCATATCTTGTACCGTAATCTCCTCAACACAAAAGCCTGATAAGAGGAAGAACCTTACATCAGCTGTAAATTCCCAGTTGCAACACCCCAGTTCTCCACGTCCAGTTACCTTGTCTTCAAGTATGGGTGTCCATTCGGTTTTTGTTACCAACCCGTGTACTCAGCCTACTGCAGATACTCTAGCAACTCACCCTGAAGGAGCAGTTTTGGCAGCCAAGGGAGGGTTTGAGGATGGTAGCCAAGAGATTAAAGAGAATGACGACCTAAAACTCTTAGAGGGGCCAAGAGAGGAGGTGGAGAGAATCTGGAGTTTTAATCTGTACAGAGTTTGAGGAATTTAGGCAGAAGGAAGGTTGTATGGAAGAAAACCTCCAAAAGGAGGGATTGGCTAGTGAGGAAGGTGAGGCTGTTGTAGAGGATGGCTATAAAAGGATAGAATTGACCCCTAGATCTGAAACAGATAATCCAAAGGTGGGATCAGATGTGAGCAAGACAGCAGTTAAAACTTACAATAGGAAATCTGGAGGGAAAAAAAAAAGAAAAAGAAAGGAAGAAAAGAATTGAGGTACAAAGACTAATCTCTGACATTAAGGGAGACCTAGAGTACAGTGGGAGGGGAGAGAGGAGAAAGTACTCCAGGTGAGAAGTTTGGTTAAGGAGGGCTGATCTGTCAAGTCTAGCTATGAAAATTATCAGTTGGAATGTGAGAGGATTGGGAAGTGCTAGGAAAAGGAGGGTAATTAAGGATTTACTGAAGAGGGAAAAACCGGACATAGTGATGGTGCAAGAGACAAAGCTCCCTAATCTTGATGGAAGATGGATTAGAAGCTTTTGGAGGTCCAAGGGAGTAAGTTGGTCCTTGGCTCCGTCTTGGGGAGCCTCTAGGGGAATTGTTACAGTTTGAAGGGGTGAGGTAGTGGAAACAGTGGAGGAATTAATATGGAGATTCTTAAATTCAAAAACGTGGAAGATGGCTTTTGTTGGGTGCTTACTTTTTTTTTTATAACAAAACCAATTCATTAATGAGAAAAGCAAAGGTACAAAGCAGGGGAGATAAACTCTCTTAACTCCCCCAAAATTAAAAAGTAAGAATTACATGTAAGCCCAGAACAATTGATTTCTTCCCACCCCTTGTTTGGCTAGTGCATCTGCAACCGAATTAGCACACCTCTTTACCCATTGAAACCTCACTGTCATGTCTTGGGTCCACCTGTTGGGTGCTTACTAATGTGTATAGACCTAACACCTCTAGGGAAAGGAATGAATTGTGGGAGGAACTGTATGCAATTCAAGGCTTATGGGATGGGCCTTGGTGCCTAGGAGGGGACTTTAATGTCATAAGATACTCGAGGAAACTAGTAACCTCGTACAGTCAATTACAACAAGCATGAGGAAATTTAATGGCTATATAGAAGATTGTGAGTTGAAGGAGATCCCTTTGCTGCAAACTAGATTTACCTGGTCCAATCTCCAAGAGAACCTGCAGTGCTCAAAGCTGGATAGATTCCTTTTCAACCTATACTGGGAGACCTATTGGGGAAACTTGGCTTCTCAAGCTCTTCCTAGGGTCACTTCTGACAATTGCCCCATTATGATTGGTTTGGAATCCTTGATTAGTGGACCTACCGTTCAGGTTTGAAAATATGTGGTTAACTCACCCAAACTTTGGGAGTTTAGTGAAGGAGTGGTGGAATGAGGAGCT